GGCCAGCGAAAGCCGCCCCTGCTCGCCCGCCGGCGGGAGCACAAAGGGCCGACTTCGTGCTCCCGCTCGGCTCTCGGTGCCTTCGGCGTTTTAACCTGCAGCCAGCGGGACTCGAGCCTGGCACCGCTCAGGTGCTCAGACCGACGCGACCACCAGCCAGTTTCTTTAACGCTGGTCAGGCAGTGCCTGGCAGCCAACGGGTCCCAAAGGCCACCAAAAGCAGCAAGTTTTGAGAACTCTATCTTCCCGTGGTCACTAGTTTTGTCTGGAGAAGCAGAAGTTTCACTAACAACAATTTAAAAAAAAATCGAATTATCTAAAATTTCCATGCAGATGACACTTGAAAATTTTAATAGCTGGTGCGACCACATCAGTTTTTCCTGAACCAAACCTGCAAGGAACCTGACCAGCGTCTTCCCCGACGTTTTACTGTAATTTAGTTTTAACTCTTTGATGCTGGAGACTTCGGCTGGTGGAATGCCCCCATGAATCACTCCAGAAGGATAGGAACTGTAGCACCGTCAGAGCTCACAGAGATTTACAGCCCTCCCTCCAAGTGACAAACATCTGAGTGGGAGTATTAGTCACTGTCTGGTGTTCAGGTAGGATGCTGACAGTGAAGGTACACCTGGAATACACTGTGCAGCCTTGGAGGGCTCCAGGGCTTGCTTTCAGAACTCATTTTTTATCCTCCACAAAGAGTCTGAGTCATTAACTAACGAATTTGACCACAGCGACATTTTATTTGCATGCTGAAATGCAGACTTCCCTCTGCATACCCTCTGTGTGCTCTAGAGAGGCCAGCTCCATGCTGCCAGTGAAATTCCGGCCCCAATTCCTCCTTCCCCTCCAGGAAAGGTCCCATTGACTTCAGTGGGGCAGGGTTTCTGACAAGAACTGAAATGTCTCTGCACGCTGTCTTATGGACATCCAAAATGTCTATTTCCAGAGGTCCATCTTACGTTACTGGTACCTGCACAATGAGGAAGGGGACACATCAGGGATGTTTTTTCAGCCCCTGTGAAAGAGCTATTCTGGAAAGTCTGACTTCCAGGAGTGGTGTCAAAGCCATGTACAAGTGCTCTGCACTCCCAGCAGTATATGGCACTGAAACAGCGATGCTTTTCTACAGTCCTCGATTCATGCTTTGGTGTTAGAAATAGGGAAGGCTTATAGCTGAGCTGAAATGTCTCTGCTCATGCTTGTTTTTCAAAATTAATGTAAGTATCATTCCTCTGCAGAACAGAGGGAGGAATGAAAATTTCCTAGGAACATATTGCTGCTTCTTTCACTGGCCGGCTTGCAATTCACCGCTCAAAATAGCTTGTGTTTTTTTAAGAATCACATGTGAATACAGAAGATTTTCATCTTAAAAACCATCTCTGCTTACCATTAAAAACATGAAGATATATATGAGAAATGTTTTGGGTTTTTTATGAACCAAAAGAATAAGGTTTTTTGGGTTTTTTTTATATCCTTGTTTTTCTGGAGGGGATTGCTTCTGCTTTGTTCTAAGCTCTTGCCCAGTATGTCAAGTCAAATATAAGTCTCTTCCATCAGTACGTTTCAGTGGAGCAACTATACCCATGCTACTTCCTTGAATGATAAACTTTAAGCCAAAATAAGTGCTTTTGATATTCTCATCACTCAACATACTAGTCTGCTACCTGCTTTCATTTTTTTGAAGAGCCACTGTACACTCCGGCTGACACACAGACACTAATAAAAAATGTTCATTGTACATCCCATGTAATGACATAAATAAATGATCCATTTTGAAATTTTGCAATGTTTAGTGTAGCAAGCAGCAAATTCAGAAACCACTTTGATTTAAATTATAGAAGTATTATATATTCTATATATCTGACTTTTCAAAATCCAGTTTGCACAGGCTCATTTATTTTAGTGAAACCTTAGATGATCTTTGGGACAGAATGAAAAGGCAGCTCTTAACCCCAATAGCTTAAGCAGTCCAATACCATAGACTAATCCCTGACTTGTTTACCATGACTACTGTTCTCTCTGTATTTCCAATCCTTCTGTGCCAAAGATTTTTAAATTGGCAGCGTATAAGCAGATTGAACTCCTTGGTTTTGCTACAAAGGTAGCGAACAGTATGAGCTTTCGGTATCCAGAAGGAGGTGGGAAACTGCTTGGAAATATGGCATAGGCACATACACTGTATTTACTCCTAAATTAAATGCATTTGCTTTAAACAGGTAATGAAAAGGTTTAAAAACTGTCACTGAAATTTCTTTCTTTAGGCTCTGACTTAAAATCTCATTCAGCTGAAAGTGATCGCACCTCTCAAAGAAATTGTTTCAGACTAGTTCAGCGCTCAGCGAGACAGCGCTGCACCAGCTTGAACTTGGCTCATATTTTAAGTACGTCTCCAAAACCATATGGAGTGGATATTTTGTGTTAGCTTTAAAAAAACGCAGAAATTTGTTCTGCAGCACAATACCATAGCAAGAGTAGATTCTGGGACCAATTTCATAATCTGAGATGTATTAGGTCTGGGATATAGTTAATCACCATCACTCTGCACTGGAGAAAGTTCCATGTTTTGTGACTACTCACCATGTTGAGCCAAGAAATATATAGACTTGCAATCACCTAAGAAGCTAGGAATTAGAATTTCCAGCCTAACACTTGTAATGATCATTAGCATCTACAGCTTATTATTTATTATTTATACAATGCCAGAGATATACACAGATATTTTACAAACTACTGAGCCCCTCATTCTGAAGAGATTCCTATCTCAACTAAATAAGAGGGAAAATACTAACCCAGGAGTAATTTGGCAACAGTAAGGTATGCACATGAAAACAACAATTTCATGTAGCTATCTACAAGTCCCTTGAGGACTACTGATATATATTTAAATGGTCCTCACGTGTTGTCAGTTGAAAATATGGCTGGTATGCAGACTGCCTGCTGCACATTAAGCAAAATGTCATTCATTTCATTGATATTTTGGTTATTTAGGAAACAATATAAGATCAATTCTGCCACAAGGCTCCCAGAATTCACTATTTCTTTTCTGTGTGTTGCCAACCTTGCAAGATGCAGTGGGATGACATGCAACTACTGAAGCTCCATGCTGGATTCACTAGTAAATACTCAGCACTCCGTAATGTTTATTCATCCTGTGCTCTGCCCTGAACGCCAGTCTAGGACTCTCCAGTTTCTCACTAACACCCAGAGGTAGCGAATGATTTCTCAATAATGCAGTATTCAGCTGCTGAATTGCTCCCAAGCTACATAGCTCATCATGTTTTTACACTGCTCTGTATCTGCAGCCATTTCAATTCCCAGCAACAGTGAGAATGGAAAGAAGCAGCATTCATTTCAGGTAAGGCTAAGCTTAAAAAATACATTTTTCCAGGAAAATAGTATGAGTGGGTATGAAACAGAAACAGTTCTTAACAGAGCACAGCTATCACCAGTGCTGCAGCTAATTCTCATTAGTGTCTTGGACCCCAATTTAATTTCTTTCTCTCTCTCCTTCTGGGTTTGTTTTTTTTTTTTCCAAACATATCAGGTAGCTAACAGCTTCCACCGGTGCTCTCTCCTCTTCACACTCAGGAGCAATGCAGGCAATTATGGAAACTTTGCTAGCTCTCGATAATTCTGCCTTTTGTCTGGTGGCATCAGTGACAGCATCAAACTTTGCACATGGTCAGCAAGGAATCCAACCTCCTTTACAACTCAAAAAGCTTCTCCATCCTTCCCTACATCCCACCTGGGACTTCAGGTTCCCCACTCCCTGCAGTGTAGCGGAAGGGCTCCATGTTCAACACTTCTGTAACCAGAAATGCGTTCCTGTAAATGTCCTCATTCTTGCAGACCTGCCACTGAAATGTTCTGCAGAGCGCTGAGCGCGCCCTCTCCTGAGGAGAACCTTGTCTGAGGGCCTCCTCGGCATCCGTGCTGTACCAAACGAAGCATTTCTTACGCTGGACATGAGCAGTCTTAGTGACATCTTCAGTTTATACGTAACAGCGGCATGAAGCACCATGCAATGAACGCCGACCTGGACAGAGGTGCTCCGTGTTCCTGGTCTGAGGGGAAGCACTCATGCCAGAGCTGCGTTTGACATCTGCCGTGTTTAGCTATCGCTCTGGCAGTATGCTCCTCATTACAACATGTGCTGGAATAAATTCTGTTTCACAATACTCTTAAACATTAAAAAGAAAGTTTCAGGCCCTCTAGTCATTGTTGTAACTGTTTGATAACCCTCTCTCCTTAGACTTTTGGAAAAAGTAGCTCTTTTTACTTTCCTTCTCATTTTGCATAATCTTTCTATTTAGATCTATAGTTTATGGGTTTGGAAAGTCTTACCGTTTGTATCCTCATTCTCTCTTTGCAGTTTTAATAGTGTCTTTTAACAGATTTGTATTTTTTGGACTCTTTGCAAGAACTTTGCATCTTTCAGTTATTCACTCTTCTTCTCATTACCACATCACTAAAATAATGTCATTTCAGCAAACGCTCTTTTTCCTATTCACCCTGTGTACAGTGGGGAGATGTTTTAAAAACCCCTTCCTTCAACAGCATCACATGAGCCTTTCGTGCTTTTAATACTGTTTGCACCAGCTGGGCTCATGCCCCTTCCTACTTCCTACACCAAAGTGAACAGAGAAGGTTATCTGGTTCCTTTCTTTTTCCCTTGATGACAAATCAGGCCAAGTAAGGGCAATAACAAACAGATACTCCTAATGGCAGACGCAAACAGCAGCCAGTTGCTGTGTCTATTTTCAGCTAATGAAAACAAGATGACTTGCAGGAGAAGTCTCATCTTCCCCCTGATGGGCTTAGTTCTGAAGGCTGTGAAAACCCAGAATCTGAATAATTCACCATCAAACTCTTCCTTATGGACCTCCTGGTGCAAACTGGCCTCATCCAGAGTATATAGATTGTTTGGTATTTTCTGCAATGAGGTTGACCTGCTTGAGCCTTCTCCTTGAGCACAGATCCTAACTGCAGAAAAGGATCAATACATCAAATCACAAGCCTGTATCATAACGAAAAGTCTTACACAGCCCATCATATTGTGTGATTCTTCTCTCACCGCTGCGTGTATATTCAGTGATCAATAGGCAAGATTTGTGTCTTACACATCTCAGATCAGAATTAAGCTCTTAAATGATTTTAAGAGAGCCCATAAAATTTATCTTTGTAATTTAATTTAACATTAGTGTTAAATTATACTGCAAAGTGCATCATGTTGACTGCATGATATGATCCTTTATACTGCACTTGGTATTATACTGAGTATCAATTTCAGAGAGCTTGTCAGGACAAAATTAAATTTTAATGTAAATCAGAACAGATTCATTGATTTCAGCCTATACTGAATTTGGATGGAGTTCCACCGTTATGTGCTGGGTAAGGCTGGTCTGTAGCAAGAGGAGGTACTAAGCACTTTGGACCAAATATTTTTTCTTGAGCCTTGTCCTGTGAACTAATCTCTCCTCCTTTACATCCGGTTAAAGGTTATGAATTGACACAGAAACCCAATAGTGTTTCGGTGGCATGGTGCAAAGCACATGACATTTGAAAGCTTTCTTAATTTCATTTTCTCTAGATAGTACAAAAATCATACGGCTTACAATTTATTCTCATTTCATTATTATTGCCTCTGCTCCTAACACAATCACCAATTTCATTTCTTACATAGTACAGAGTTAGGAACAAAACAAGGGTGACTTTGGAGACAGTTGTGCACTTCAAAAGAGATTCATTCCTCTCTTATTCTTTGCCAAGTGCAGATATTTAATAATCAGAATTCCTTAATAATCCACCATCACAGCCAGTCCAAACAGTATCTTTAGGAAACAGCATCGGAAAGGTCTATTTCCCTGTTTGCCATCTCCCATCACTACCACATGTGATGTTGCTGCATGACATTTCCTTCCTCTCTATTTCTCCAAAGGCAAACAAGCTACTATTCAGCAGTTCTGAGTC